GGGTAGAAGCCCTGCACACGGCAGGTGAAGTTCACCGTCTTGTTCCCCTCCACGGCGCCCGGCGGCGCAGCGACCACAGACACGCTGGGGGGAACTGGAAGAGAAGCAGCGCCTGGAGCCGGCGTCCCTGAGCCCACGGCTCAGCCCTGCCCCAGCCCCGGGGCTGTGAGCCTCACCTCGCAGGGCCTGGCCCAGTGCGTACGTCCTCCTCAGTGGGGCTGACAACGTGCTGTGCTGCACCTGGCAGGTGAGCTCTGAGCGGACGTCGTTCTTGTGCAGCGTCACCTGTACGGTGCTGGACATGTTGTAGGAGGAATTTGATGGCTCTGAGGTGATGCGGGGCAGCTCAGCCTGAACTGGAACGCTGTTCTTGAGCCACTGCACCTGGATGTCACGGGGGAAGAACCCTCTGGCACTGCAGGTGAAGGTCACCGACTGCCCCGGCACCATTCGGTGACTCGGCCCTGACACGGCCAGCTTGGAGGGTCTGGCTGTGGGAGAAGCATTGGCCCATCAGGGAGCGTCCTGCCCATCCCAGCCCCAGAGGAGAGCCCACCAGGACAGGCTGGGAATCCACTCACCGTGCACCAACACCTTCGTGCCCCCACCACTCTTAAACACCTCATCACCAGAGGTGTTTCTGCGAAACTTCACACAGTAATAGGTGCCAGCGTCCTCAAGACGAACATCCCTGATGTGGATGGTGAAGTCTGTTTCGGACCCATTGACTGCTCTCATCACACGTTGGGAGGAGCCTTTCTGATCATAAATGGTTTGATTGACGTTGCTCTGGTTCTTCAGCCAATTCACAGGGCCAACAGGACCCGATTTAGACACTGTGCAGTTCAGGGTCAGCATCTCCCCTTTGATCACCACCACCGGGCCCTGGGACTGCTGCAGCTTGAAGTCCGGGTACTTCTGGGCACCCACACCTGGGGACAAAGCAGAAGCCCTTCAGTCCCTCTCAGGAGGGCCCTGAGCCCAGCACCGGGATGGAGCTGTGAGCCCAGTGCCCTCAGTACAGATGACCCCTGTGTGCCACGCTCTGTGCAGCCAGAATACAGATATCCAAGCCCACTGCCCCCAACACATCCCACTGTGGGGAGGAAAACAAGGAATGTCACAAGGAAACAAAGGCACGCGCTGCACCACACTGAAAACCAAGCTCTCCTCTCAGACAGATGTAACACCGCTTTTTCTGCGCTCAGTCTCCCCGGTTCCAGCCCCGACCCGTGCCAGCAGCGCACAGCTCTCAGCTGCAGCCGATGCCGTTCCCCTCGCCGCCGGCAGAGGAAAGCCGTGCCCTGGATGCACGGTGGCTGCAGCTGCAGCGCTGTGCCTCCGCCTCGTGCCCCGATGGGAGCATTGCACCTTTCCTGAGCCTCCCAGAGCCTGGGAGAAATCCCCTGCTGAGAGCTGATATGACCACGCTACGACTCTGGAGATGGCAAGCAGTGCGTGGGAGCGGTGCCACGGCTGTGCAAAGACCATTGCGTTTGAGCAGGGAGCTCCTGCTGCAGCTGCCAGCACTGGGAGCGAGCACACACATCGATGTAGGGCCATACATGCACCATGGTACAGCTGCAGCCCCGCAGCCTGTCACTGGCCCTTTGCAGAGAGGGCCACAGCTGCATCTGTCTGTCCTGGACCAGGAGGTCCCAAGGTAGATTGGTGCAGCTGTACCCCAGCACAGCCACGAGCTTTGGGCCTTGGTGCTTTCCTTTGGAGCCACAAAGCCAACGCGTGGCACTGAACCAAACCTGTGCCACAAGATAAAGGTGGAAACGCCAAATGTCCCACCTGAGCAACAGGGTGAGCTGCTGTTTTCCATCACAGCAGTGACCGTGTGGGCTTCTGCAGGTGGAGCTGACTTTTGGGGTGACACCCAAGTTTGGGGAGCAGCCCCAAAGCAGAGCCCTGGGCACAACCAGTGCACGGCACAGCCGGCTCAGCTGGTGAGCCCCTCCCGAGCTCCTCCACTGCCCGCAGGCTTTTTGCGAGAGCAGTTGAGCAACGCAGAAAGGAAGTTATAAAGCATCACTTGCCCCACACTGCACCCACATGGGGACAGGGCTGCTCTGGGCACGGTGACCCACTGCCTCCAGGAAGACCCCCAGCCCCTTTATACATCCAGATCAGCTGCTTTGCTGACCTCTCACCGCACCCAGTCCAGCAAACAAAGCCCACAAACTAGCACGAGGTGTTGCAACACAGGAAAGGTCATGCTGCAGGAAGAGCTGGGCCCCCTCAGCACTGCACGATGAGCGCTTCTCTCCCTGCTCCCAGCAACAACCCTGCAGAAAAGTGGCTTTGCAGCAGAGCAGTGTGCACCTGCAGCCCATTCCCTTGGGCACCCACAGCACCCATCACGCCGCAGGAGCCCAGTGCAGCCCCACTGAGCACAGCCCGCTCCAATCCACACGTTCCCTCTGCATCCTCCCTCTCTCCATCTGTTGCGCTCCTGGCGAGGCACGCGCCGTGCCTGGAGGGGAGGAAGAACTCCAGCTTTGGGGTCTGAGGGCTTCAGAGCACTCATGGGCACCAGAGCAGGGCTGGGGCGTGGGCACTGCTCAGCCAGAAAGCACATCTCTGGTTGGAGCTGCCAGGGCTCCTGCTGGCCTCCAGCACTGGCATCTCCGTGCTGGCAGCTCTGGGGCTCCGTCATCACACGGCTCCAAACAGTCTCTCAGCTTGGAGTGAAATGCAGCTTTTGGCTATTTTTTTCTTCTTTCATGTGCTAATTTAGAGATTTTTCCCACAGATCTGCTTGCCCAGCGCTCTCTTCAGATTGCTACATTCAGGATTTGCAGGAAATCTGTTATAAACGAGCTTCAACCACAGAACACAGCATTGGCACCACGCTGGCTTAACCGGCCCCACTGCTCCTCCTGGATAACAACAACACAGCCATCCCCGCACAGCCCAGTGATCCCAAACCAGGGACACCCTGACACCCCTCTGGGAACATCTCCCAGAGCACAACCTGCTCCCAATCCCAGCACCGCCAAGCCCCCACCCCCCTGCAATGGGAACGCACAAAGGGGAAGTTGCATGAAAACCCCCTGCAAGCCGAGAAATGCAAAGTTTCAACCCAATTTCCTCCCCCTGCCCTTGCCCTGCAGCCAGCTTCCCCTTGCACCGTGCAGACCTCTCTCCTTCCTCGTTCTCACCCAGCTCATAGCATGCACCATCCCCACGAGTTTTCCATCTCGGTGACACATTTTTTTTTTCGCTCTATTTCCACCTTTTGAAGTATCTGATACCGAACAGATTGCAAGAGGCTGGGGTTTAATTCAGGAGAAGGTGCCTGCATGCTTAGGGCCGGTAAAAATAGCTTTCCTTCTAAAGGCACCAAGGAAGGAGCTCTGGGATGGAGCGGGGCGTGCAGCTGGCCGTCGGTATGCGGGCACTGCGCAGCACCCCAAAATAATCCCAATGGAATTTCACCTGCACAGGGAGGCTGTGGGGAAACTAACAGGTGCTGGCTATAAAAAGAGCCTGGAAGCAGCATTTTGGAGGATAAGAGACCCCGAGATGATTACCCAGGCAGGGCAATAGTAGGGGCTATATTTGACACTGGTGACATCAGAGGATGCCTCAAATCACGTACAGCCATCATTTGCAGGCTGCACTCCCACAGCAGTAACAGAAATTCAGCTGTGTGGCCAAAGCCCCACAACCAAGCAGGTTTCCGACTTGGGGGAAGCTGCAGGAAGCCCTTCAGTGAGCAAAGCTCATGCAGAAAGTGAGCGGCCGAGATTTCGCAGAGGGCTCTTTACCCTACAGGGAGATATCCTGCAGGATCTCCCCTTTCCCCCTTTGCTTCCTGCAGCAGCACTGCTCCTGCCAGCTCCTCTGCAGCACAGCTGGATTGTGAGGCAGGACGGTCCCTGCTAGAACCCCACATGGGAAACAAGGTTTGCACGCCTGCACCATCAGCCATACAAAGCAGTTCTCCAACCAACTGGAAACCCAGCACTCTGTGCCCCTTTGGGGGCTGGGATGGATCTTTTTGTCCCAATGGAAAAAAAGATGTTGTCCCTTTGGGGTCACACTTGGTGAAGCTCAACAGCTCCGCTTCAGCCATTATCATGGCAGGAAATCACAGCAGCTTCACTGGGGCAGTACTTGCAGCCAAAACCTCCTTTGGCTTTAAGCAGCTCGGAGCACAAAGCTCGGGGCCAACGCTCCCCAGCTGCAGGCAGGCAATTAGGAAAGCAAGCAGTGCTGTGTCAAAAGCATTTGCTTTCTGCTGGAGTTCACACTCAGCTCTGCACTGATGGAGAGCTGCAAGGGAAAAGGTCTCCAGCGGGCCTGGAGGTGCACAGCTCTGCCCAGGGTGTGCAGCTCACTGCAGGGGGAGATGTGGGGTCCGGACAGAGCTAAACAGGCACAGTGCCCACTGGGGAGGTGCATCACTTTTGCCCTACAAAGTTTGCTCTGTCCCCTAAAAAGCCACAGACAACAGCAGGCCAGAAGGAGCCCAGCTCCTTCACGCTATCACTCAAGATTAATGACACTGAAACACTCTAGAAATGAAACATCCTTGAAAGCAGCACCCAACGCAGGGCTTTGTTCCTGGTGGGCCAAGAAACTTCCTGCTCCCATAAGGGGAAGGGAAACAACGGGGTAAGCACCGAGCGTGCCTTCTCACAGCACTCTCCTGTGGGACCGATGGGGCCACAAGCCACGAGGGAGGGCAGGAGGAGCCACAGGGAACCCGAGGGGACCCGGAGTTGCCCTAAGTGAGCAGCACAAGGTGCAGCCCCACTTTGCTGGAGCTCAACTGTTGAGCAGTGAGGAGCAAGGACGAGATGGGGGGGGGTGAAGGAGGGCAGCCACAAAAACAAGGTTTGAGTTTTAAAGAGAGCTCCCAGCCGAGCTGCCCTCCTCCCATCCGCAGCAATGCCGGGGGCGATGCGCCTCTCCCGGAGCCGGCTGGGTGCTGGCAAAGGGTTGGAAGCAACGTGCCTCTTCACGTCCCTAATTCCCGCATGTGGCTGCGGAGGGGGATGGATGAACGGCTGGGAGCAATGGAGCCGGGCCCCGCGCTGGAGGTCATCGCCTGGAAAGGTCACAGCAAAGCGCGGCGGCACCGCATCGCGGCCGGTGCGGGGTTGAGAGCGGGGAGAGGAGCAGTAGGAAGGACGGGAGAAGGGGGAATAGGGAAAAAAACACAGCAAAAACAGAGAGAGCTCCGGGCTCACCTGGGCAGGAGGGCGGGCAGAGCAGCAGCAGGCAGAGCAGCGGCCAGGCGGGGGGACGGGGCTCCATCTCCGGCTCCTCCTGGAGAACAGAGAACAGAACGGCTTCAGAGAGGAAAAAACAACAACAAAACCCAACCGAGCAGCCAGGCAGAATTGCAGATGGAGAAGGAAACGGCACTTCTCATCCCCCAGATGAGGAAGGACTGCCGTGCCCCCCCCCTCCCCCACCCCCCTCTTTTCACCCCCCGTTTCGCCGCAGCGCGGTGCGGATCGTACGGACCTGGCCGGGCCCCGAGCGGCCCCGGGGCCGTTCCGCTCCGCACCGCTCCGCACCGCCCCTCCGCAGCGCCGCCTCCGTTGCCCTGACACCGCGAGCGGCCCCGGTAGCGGCGGGGCTCCCCGCAGCCCGGCACCGCCTGGCTCTTGGCACAGTCGTGGGTGGGAGCTCCCCCCCGGGACACCGGCTGCTGCCTTCTTAAGGTGGGCCGGGTGAAAGTTTCCCCACCCTCCCCAGGAGGGATGCGGGTAAGGATGGGGCAGCTGCTGCAGTGCTCGTGAAGGGTGGGGAGCGGTGGCTGGAGCTGTTCTGATGGCTTCGGGCATCTCACAGCATGGCACGCAGCCCGGTGCTGTTACCGGGGAAAGCACAGAGGTGGTGGGGACGTGCAGTGCTCCCAGACGTGCTGGGCATTTAGTGCCATCCGAGGGAGCACGCGGTGCCAGCAGCCAAGCCAGGAAGGCCCGTGGCAGAAGCACGAGTGGCTGATTTGGAGACTCCACGTGGAGTGGGCAGCTTGGCTTATCAGGGTCAGACCGAGCAAAGAGAGGAGCCTGGAGCAGGGCAGGTTGGAGAAGTCCTTATATCCCATCCCTGCACCAGTTCCTGGGCACACACACACATCCCTGGTGTGTCCCCTCACCTGGCAGGCTTAGCAGGAGCACATCCAGCATACAGGATGGGAGCTCGCAGCCCTGAGAGGTGAGAGCCTGAGGACAAGGTGACCGCCATGAGAAATGGAGCTGAGGGAGAGAGCATCCACGGGATGTACATCCCTGCTATTCCAACACAGTCCCTCCTATGGGAGACACGTCCTCTGCTATCTGTTCCTACCACAGTTCCTCCCACCCCCATGTGGGGCTTCAAGGCCAGGGACCAGCCTGGTGCCCAGCACCCCACACGGCCACACTCCCTACATCCAGGCACTGCTGGCAGCTCCCAATGCTCTGCTCACCCAGGAAGGCATATTGCCCCGCAGGCAGGAGCTGAGCAGCACCCAGCACAAGTCTCAACCCAAGGGCAGCAGCTGTAGCCGTGCTGGGACCACCACAGGCATCAGTTCCAACTCACTCTCCAGCAGCCGCCGGGGCTGTCGGCTTTATTTAGAGCTTCACATAAACAAACAGCAAAGATAGCTGAAGTGTCTTGGCACCATCAATCTATGCACTGCTCAGCCCGGGTGCGTTCTCTGCATTCTCATTCCTGGTGCCACGAGCCTCCCCCTCAGCCCTGCCAGTACAGCTACACCCTTGCATTACATCCAGCTTTAATCGACTTCACTCGCTCTGGAGGTGGGACAGCACCTGGGATGGCTGTGCTGCATCCCAGGACCCTCAGAGCAGCTCCAACCACTGCTGTTCCCAGGGAGCTCCCAAGAGCCCAACACAGCCGTTGCCTCATTTCCCCTTCCCACATCTGGCGAGCACGTGAGCCAGCAGCAGGGTTTGGATTTCAGCCTCCTGCACAGGCAGCGTGGTGATAAATCAGCTCTTTGCATAGGGAAAGGGACACAGGATCAGCTACGGTCTGGTCTGCAGCACCTTGAATCCCATGTCTGGGAGCAAAGCAAGACAAGGTTCTATTGGCGCCTCCAATCCCAGTTCTTTTGAAGCAGCAGCACAGCTCCCAATGGCCCGGCTGCCTGCAGCCTGTCTGGGCTGTTCTCCTACTCAGCACTGAAGATTCAGACAAACCCATGAGCACAGAGCACAGACAGCCCTGTGTGCAGTCAGAGCGCTCGGGAAGGAAAGTTGGAGCTTAAAAAAGCTCTGCGAGAGGAGGAACTGCAGCACAGCAGATGGTGCTTCCCGGCAAGAGCTGCTCCTGCTCTATGTTAGAGAGCATATGGGCAGTATGAGCTGCCTCCCTGCTGCCTGCAGCCCTGTGCTGGAATGTGAGGTTTGGAGAAGCCGGCCTAAGGAGCAGCCCTTGTGCTGGAGGCAAAGAAGTGGGAGCACGGTGCTTTGGAGGTGTGACACCATCACAAGTGGTTCCCTGTGCACATGAGCAGGAAGCTCTGAAACACTGGTGCTGCACCCGTGGCACCTCCATGCTCCAGAGCACAACCCCTGCTCCAGGTTCACGCTGCCAGATCCCAGCTCCTGGGAGATGCTGCTGGGGCTAAGAAAGGATTTGGGACCATTCTCAGCCCTTTTCATAGCTTTGAAGCAACAGCATCCTCAAGGTAGGTCAGGATGAGCCACGGCTGGAGCAGCAGCATCAATTTGTAGGGATGATCTCAAGCAAATCTCCATCTCTAAGCCCAACAGCATCCTCACAGCTGTCCCTATGCAGCCAACAACCACCAACAGCACACACATGGCTCAGGTGTGCAGGGATCCACAGAAGCTCAGAGCCTCCTGGTTGTATCCTGACCCACAGCCCCAGACTGGGGGGGGACACATCCTGCAGAACCCCCCACCACCCCTGAGCTGTGGGTTCAGCCCTCACAGGGCCCTCAGCTGAGAGAAAAGCACACAAATATCTCCTTAAGGAGGGATTTCCAATTACACCGCTGATATTTAGGGCTTCCAGCACAACAAATGGAGCTTCAGCTTCATTAGGTACCATGCCAACTTAGCCCAAGACATCCAGTACAGAAGGAGCTTAAATTAGTTTATCTGATGTTAACTTCTAACAAGCAATATGCCAGCATAGAAATGGAAAGCAGTGACCTTCAGCCCACGTGCACAAAGCAGCATGCAGATCCACCCAAGTTAGTCCCCAAAGGGAGCAGACACCAATGGAAGAGCAACGCAGCCCAACAAAACCCCAATGACGAAACCAGATGCATTGTACACACTCACTGCTTACTCTCCCTGCAGCACCTAGCTGGGAAAAGAAATAGTGTGGCACCTGGGAACCCCTTTATGCCACGTTAATGAGCTGCAGCTGCTTCGTTATGACCCCAGTGCAGCTGTGATGGCCATAGGAAAGTAGGATAGGGGCTGCTGGTTTCTTTCTGTAGAGCCAAGTGTGGCTTTGCTTAAAGCAGAGTTTGGAGGGAGGGGGCTGCTCATAGGAACTGTTTTGCTTTGTTTATGCTTTTATGGGGTGATATAGGGTTCTGCTGGGATGTTGCAGGTCCTTCCCTGAGGCTTCACAGTGATGAGTGTGCTCACTGCTCCCTGTCACAGCAGGACAGGGCAGGAGGCAGATTCCTAATCACAGCCTGCTCCATTCTGGCACTACTGGAGTGCTCTGCCAGGGCCAGGTGGTGCTTTTGAAGTCCATAAAGAGGTATTTATGGAACAGTTATCTCTGATTGCTTCGTGTGTGGTGGGAGAGGGAGGGATGTTGGTGCTGGAAGTGATGCACTGGGTACAGTTATGGGGTTTATTTGTCCATGTCCCATGCAGAGCAGCATTGCACCACATCCATGGCTGCAGTGCACATGGGATGCTCCGGCCCTGCAGCAGCACCCTGTGAGGTGCTGGCACTGGGGTAAATCCACTGGGCTTCCTTAACACAGCCCTACGCATTTCCAAGGGGGAATTCCTACCAGGCTGTGTCACAGCAGGAAAGGTGTTCTACATCCTGCCCTGGCCTGGCAGCCTGCCCTGGGAGCTGAGGGATGCAGGGTTTGGGCTGAACTGCTGACACAGTGAGAAAAGTCAACTGCTGGGATGGGAGCTGGTGGGGACACACTGCTGTAAGCACTCGGTCGGTGTAAGCTGGTGAGCAGGATCCTGCATCTGGCCCTGGAGGAGGCTTTGCTCTCCCGTTGTGGGTGCTGTGGTCCCATGATTCTTGCAGACATTTTGGATCCTGTGGTGTCAGGGGACAGATGGGGACCGGGTCACAAAGCAGCAGAAAGGCTAATCCTGCACCCCTTGGCTGCAGAGCTCAGGGATATTGTGGGTGGTGAGGCTGGCTGCACCTCTGCATACTCAGCCCCATCCTCCACTGGGAACAGCAGTGAGGGTCAGCGTGCTGCTGGGTGCTGCAGGGTTAATGGGGGCAAACCAGGCAGCCTGTGAGTCTGCAGCCCCATGGAACAGTGCTGGAGAAACCCTGGGCTCCCTCTTAGGCAGCGCCACAGCAGACAGGGTGAGGATCTGGCCAAGGGAGGAGTGATAGCACCTTGATTTTCTTCTGCTTTTTTTTTTTTGTTTTGTTTCCCTATTCTCTCAGAGTTCTTTGTTGACGGCAAACTATTATCACAAAAGTGCATCCGTGGCTGCAGCAGCAGATAATGCTCAGTGTGCTCCCCAGGCTGTGGTGGCTGTACCTCATTGCTGCCTGATAAAGTGGATGGAAACAAAAATGCAGATGGAGGAGGATTGCTCACAGTGTGCTATCTCAGCCCATCGCTTCCTGCTCGTCAGAGCTCATGCTGGATGTGCTGCAGGACCCGAAGCCTGGGCATGGCAGGGATGTGTTCTGGGGGTTGGGGGAGCCACAGAAAGAATAAGGCTCTGCAACATGTGCTGTGCTCCTGGTGGCTGCGTTTCTCCATGGGTCTGGCCCAGCGCAGAACAGGGCAGCAGAGTTATGGAGAGGGATTGGAGATTGTCAAGGCCAGGCTGGATGTGGCTCTGGGCAGCCTGGTCTAATGGTTGGCAACCCTGCCCATGGCAGTGGGGTTGAAACGAGATGATCTTTTCAACCTTGGCCATTCCACGATTCTATGATTTAGGAGCTGTGTGTGGTGTCCTGAGACCTGCGAGCCGAGAATGAGCACCAGCAGATGTCTGCAGACAGGATGCACGTCTGTGGGGAACCCATTCTGCGTGTGCACTGCGTGTGCGCTGCATCTGCATTGCACGTGCACGTGTTTGCACATGTGTGAGTGCATGTGCACGGCACAGGGCTGTGGATGCGGGGTCCCAGCTGTGCCTGGTGCCACCAAGCCCACCCCTATAGGGGAGCAGTGCAGTGCCATGGGACACTGAGGGCACTGCTGGAGCCTGGGGCAGAGCTGTTGCCCTGCGATGTGCAGGGCATGAAGTTCAATCATGGGGAGCAAAACTCAGTGGTGTATGGCACAGATGAAACGCTCCAGCAATCATTGCACTGCAGCCCTTTAGCAGCGGCTCTGACCGCCAGCATTAATGATATCCACCCAATTAGCTGCTGTGCGCTCCGCATCGCCCGAAGGATTAACAAATAAAATCATTATCGTGGGGTGTAAGCGCTTAACACCGCTAATTAAACACCGAGCAGATCCCAACCCAAACACCCAACCCGTCCCAGCAGCGGGGTGCTGGCAGCCAATGGGGTGTGGAGTTTGGGGTGCTGCCCTGCCCAAAGCATTGACTCTCCTGCACACATCCCCGTGGCTGGGGCTCCCCTCGCTCCTGGAAGCAGGAGATGTTTATGGGGAATTTGCCTCGCTCGGGGATACGTTATTTTTACACGTTGCCATAGTGACCGCTACCATTATAAAATTAAGGCTGAACCTTGTGGAAGAA